AGGCTCCAGGGCATCATTAGAGAGAGTAAACCATGCCTCTGGGGTATATTGCTGCTTCCACTAGTTCATCTAGGAATGACTGAAAAGACCTGCGAGACCTTCACAAACTGCAAAGCATTTAAGCAGAATTCAGTACTTCTCTTAGGAGGAGGGCATCTGAATTAAGTGACAAATGGAGAAGAATGGACAAGAGAAAACGTCCTGTATCTAAATCTGTACTTAAATAAAATTTTAACTAGATGATTGGTAATATTAAATTGCTGTGTTTTATTTTAATCATAATTTAAATTAAGATTCCATCTTGGAACACAAGAAGGTAAGCTCATATAGACAGGGACTTTTTCTGGGTTTTGGATTTTGGGTCCCCTCCCCACCACCACCACCCCCACTGCTAAATTCCTAGTGCCGGCAATAGTTTCTGGCACATAATGGACCCTTGGACATGTTGTAAGTGGGTAAATGCATGAATGCAAGAAAAGCTAACAACTTGCATTTATTTTATGCTCTAAGGCTGTACTTTTGTTACTTTTTATCTGTGGTGTGTCAGGCATGCATTCCTCAGCTATAAAAAATGGCACTTAAGGTAGATTTTTTAGCATTCTATGTCCTGTTAATTCCAGTTAGTATTGCCACTTTCTAAGTGCTTCAAAGCAGGATGTGAAAAGAATGACAGGGCTGAGCCTAGGGAGAGATGCTAAGAGAACAAGGAATACACAACTAAGCCTCATCAGAAACCAAGTCTGGAATTACAGGTGTGAAAAGCCGGCCTGGGGCAGCAGCAAGAGGCTGGAGTGGTCACCGGGAGGAAGGACGTGCAGCCCCCCTGGTGAAATACAAAACATGCTTTGCAGGCAAGATCGATGAGAAACGGCTTAGCTCTTCATAATTTGACCATGCCTTTTTGGTTCTTGTGGGCACCCTCGGTACTACATACCTGTTCAGATAACATCTAATGCAGCTGTGTTTTGGTAGATGTGTTCATAGCACATATGGAATCCACTGGTAGAGGATACTGCGTCCCCGTGGACCCATGAGTAATAATTAGTTGACTTACCGCTCTTTACTTCATATTTCAGATTTAGCATGGGGGTGCCACTTGTTTATGTTAATATTCTTCATTCTAAATGCTTTACCTCGGACCAGAACATCCACAATGGCTGTTGAGCCATGGGTTAGCACTGGCATCTTTATGTTTTGAGACAGCACCGGAAATCCTAAGCATGCTAAGCAAGTTCAAGCTTGCCCTTCCCTTTTCTCCTCTCATACCTGATTAGCATAGTTAACACTGAGCTGACAGCCCTTCGTGCTTCTCGGGGAGTTATGTTTTTAGGGATGAGTATTTACCTCAACGCTAACACGTGTATGAGGAGGACAGGTCCTGTTGCTAGAAGAAAATGACCACCATTGCTGACAACACTCACATCCAAGGTTGCTGGCTGACCGGTGTGTGGACAAGTCTCAGCACAGAATGAGGTGATGTGCTGTTAGTTTACAGCGTAATGTCACACCGGGCATATACTACTGTGTCAAGATGAAAATGTAGGTGCTGTCCAGCAAAAGTAGGTTACGGTTGTTAATCTGGAAAATAATACAGTAATAAGTAATGCAAGAATAAATTCACAGAGTCACAACTGTAAACCTACTTTCTCCCCACCCTGTGTTCCCTGACTGCCTGAGAAACCATCTCTCCAACAATCCATCTGAAACATCTTAGAGTTGGTCATGGACTGCCGTTAAGTGAAAACTGCAGTTGTCCCAAGAGATCTTTATCCAGCCATTGCCCATCACCTTTCATTTCTGTGGTTATCCATGGTTACATCTGCCAGCACCTGCCTTGTCCGCTGTTACGGACTAAATGTGCATATTACCCCCTTCCAAAATAAATTCCGTGTAACCCCCCAGTGATGTGATTAGTAACTTTACAAGAAGAGGAAGACACTACAGCTTCCTCTCTCCCTCGCACGAGGATACAGAGAAGGCAGCTGTCTGCAAACCGGGAAGAGGGTCCTCACCGAGAACAGAATCTGCTGGCACCTTGATCTTGGGCTTCCCATCTCCACAGCTGGGAAAAATAAATACCTGTTTAAGCCACCAGTCTCTGGTATTTGTTACAGCAGCTTTAACAGAATAAGATACCCATTCTCCATGTTCTTTTCTAACCAATTTCATTGGGTCTCCTGTCAGTTTCATTGGGTGACCAGTCAGTGCCCAGGAGATAACACATGCTAACTTAATGCCATCATCCTGTTGAATTTATAATAAAAAATTACCATGCATTGCTGTTCTCAGAACATACGTTCTCACTGGCCTAGTCCATATATTTCCCTGTTAACCAGAGGACATTAAGATCTTGTTCCAAAACAAGTCTTTAGGAGTTGTGTCACTAGATGTCTGCTGGCCTTGAGGTGTATGTACATGCAGATGTGCGGGCATTCTGCCAGTTGTCCAGACATGAATATACGCAAACATTCTATGCGCAGTTACATGTTCTTTGGGCCCTATACGTGTGAAATGTCCCATGGCCATTATTTGGGGATAGCAGATACTCATTTCTCTTGCCTTTTTGTGGTTCTCTCCCTAATTGCTTTGTGAGCTAACATTGCTATACACTCTTTGATACTTACGTTATTACAGTATAGGTTACTCTTAATTTTTAATCATGAACATTTGTCGAATACAGCTTCAAGGGTTTACATACAGCTATACTTGCTTGTTGGGCTCTGTGTTCCAGCCAGTGTTTGCTTTACTTAGATCATTTCATTTCATTTTTCCAACTGTCCTAAGAGATAGATGTTACCCTGATTCGTGGAAAGAAACAGGTTTGATGAAGCTAAGTAACTTGGTCAAAGTCACATGACGGAGCTGGGATTCTGACCTGCCTCCAAAGCTCCTGTTTGAACAGCTATTTTATAATGTCCCTCAACCTACAGTCATCGGAATGTCCCCTTTTGCAAATGCAGGGATTGGCTCCTAGTGAGGTAGCTCGCTCAGATTTACATAGCTGATTAGTTACAGAGTTGGGATTCACATCCTGATGTTATGACTCAGGATTCCAGTGCTCTTTGAACTCTAGTGTTCTGAATATCCCAGTTACAGCTTTCTTGCCTGTAACTTACAAAGTGCTCCCTCCAAACCTGTTTCATTGGATGCTTAAAGCCCTACTCTAGGTTAGACACAGTTATTGTGCCTCCCTTGTTTTAGATAATGAAACTGAGACTTGGGTTAAAAGAGTTGCTTCTGTTAAAAAGAAAGTAAGCAAATCTTTTGATCTTTAACTCAACCCTTTCAGCATAGCCTTTCCCTGCATAAAAAGTGTACGACGCTGTGTCTTGTGTACCTTCTGTGTAGAGAAATTCGCCCTTGCCTTACATCATTTCTGCTTGTTCCTATCCACCAAACTGTCACGAGTTTTAACTTATTCTTTCTGGCTCATTTTAATTTTGGTTCCTCTCACCATAAAACAGTGGCTTGGATTTTCATAGTGTTTGTTGTCCACATTCTTCCCATTTTCTATATGGTAATCCATAATGTGAAGAAACATCTTTTTAGGGCTGATAGATTGTGACATCAGTTATGTCCTCCGGGTTAATAAAAGGTGACGCTGGTGAATATGTCAAGAAGCTGGATAGAACTTTTTGACTGGTTTCCTTGTGTTTCTTTAAAGTAGCAAATTGGATGTAACTGCTGATTTTCAGAACATTTTTAGCTTCTGAAGCTAATGTCATGTTGATTCTCTGCTATATACCACCTTGCTCGTGAATATGTTTCTTGGTTCTCGTTTGCACTGCATTGTTACTAATTCTGGGTCCTAAATAGTAGAAAATATAGTCTACTTTTGGCTTTCGCTTTGGAAATTGTTTCCTTTCCTGTAGTGGTGTTTCTTTTCTGGAAGGCTGATTAAATTTCTACCTCCTTGTGTGACTGTAAAGTAGGCCTGACGATGAAATGATCTATAGTCGCTTCCAAGTGTGTGGTCTGAGTTTAGAAATGAGAACATGTTAGCTTTTCTGTGGTTGTCTAGAAAAGTATCTGATGATCTCCTCATCTTCCTAAGTTAATGTTTTTTCCTGAAAATAAAAATAAAATGTAATGAGACATCTGTTCCTTCAATTAATCAGAGTAGACTTAGCAAGTCCGCTCTGTGGGAATCTAGGAAATACGCTGGAGAGCGTACTCTCAGTTCCAGCACAAACACACCATAGTGTCGGTCTCGGTTCTCAAGAAGTTTCTCTGGACATTCATTCTTCAGCAGCTAAATCCATGCATGTTGATAACATTAACTTTTGTGAGTATAAATGCAATGCTTCCTATTTTTTACAAAGTTCCCTCACTAAACCTAGGGCAAATACCATGCATTGCCGAAGTTTGGGAGCCACTTTGTCATTCCATAAAAACCATTTTGCCATGTTATACACGAGCTGTTCAGAATGGTGCTGGGGGGGGCATTTATCTGTAAAATAGACTATTTTAGTCAACTGAAATAATAAACACAGTATATATCAAGGTAAGTAGTAGCATTGCAGTGTCTTGACGTTCTGAGGAAATGATATCTCAAAAATCGTCAAATGTGTTCCCTCTTCTGCTTTTTCCTAGAATAACAATCTCACCTACGACAGTTTTCCTGTGGCCATGAAGTTCATGCCACTTCTATTTGTTCCTTTAAACCAAAGTAACTACAATGGTAGTAAGGAAAACAAAAGTAATAGCTCTGCGGTGTCTAGATAAGTGCTGGGTTATAGTTGTAAGAGTAGCACGTCGATTTCAGAGTCAGCTGGAGGCACAGCCATCCACAGAAGATACAGTACATTTATACGAGAGGAATGTGTGTCTTTTCTGTATAAAATTTAAGACATCATATCACTGAAACATGAAATGCCTGAAGCTAAATTGTATACCTCTTGTAGAATTGTTTTGCAAATAAATTAAATTGATATTTTGAGAAAATCATTGAACTCATTTAAGTAACCTTGCTACTTTTGCATTTTCTCATCTGGATGTAGCTGAAGGTGCCCATGGCAGACAAGCCTGGTAACACAGTGAATTTCCGGAAGCTGCTGTTGAACCGTTGCCAGAAAGAGTTTGAAAAAGATAAAGCAGACGACGATGTCTTTGAGAAGAAACAGAAGGAACTTGAGGCTGCCAGCGCTGTAAGTATTTTTACAGTAAGTGCCTGTGCAGTTTTAGTGTTAATAAAGAGAATTTTCACGAAGCCAGCTACTACTTCTCTCTACTGTAGGTGTCTGTGGCAGATACTATATTGAGGTCTAAAAGAGTAGTTTTATTTCTTTTAGTGCTTCTTGTTAGAGCAACTCAACTTTCTAAGACAGGGATCCAGAACCATCCTGAGGGGTCACCGAGTGCCTCTCCTGAGATAGATGCAAAATTTCGGGTATAGTTGCAGTCAGGCTCTCAAAGGGTCTCCCTAATGCCCAGAAAGAGGGCAAAGACCATGAATCTAAGCGTGTGTTCTTAGTGTCTACTGTACAGTTTTCACCATCAAGATTCTGTTACTCCTTACACAACAGCCAGAGGAGAGGACGCGGCTCCATGACGAACTGGAAGAAGCTAAGGACAAAGCGCGGCGGAGATCCATTGGTAACATCAAGTTCATCGGGGAACTCTTCAAACTCAAGATGCTGACCGAAGCCATCATGCATGACTGTGTGGTGAAGCTGCTGAAGAACCACGATGAGGAGTCCCTGGAGTGCCTGTGTCGCCTGCTCACTACCATTGGCAAAGACCTGGACTTTGAGAAAGCAAAGGTAAAAGTTCAAAATCACGGAAACCCCCAGCAGGGATTCTGTCGGTTGCAAAAGAACTAGAACAGTCAACAACAAAAGTGTTCCATCCTGCCCCAGCCATCGGGGCTGCTTGTTTTCCTTTCGTGCCCGTCTCACTGCCAGTGTTGGGCCATCATGCCTTTACCACGTTTCCATTAAAGCCACAAGTGAAGAGGTCCCAAGTCACCTAAAAGCCAATCCATGAGTTGTTCAGATTATCTGTCCCTTGTCCTTTTTCTGCACAACCATTTCACGGGTCACTTGTATGTGTCAGCATATTATGAACAAAAATAAAGGGAGAGAAGCTACTATGGGCCAGGACTGAGGGTGGTACAGAAATGAAGAGAACCCAGTAGCTTTCTTAAATTACTTTATGCTCTGATTAATGACACAGCTATCTAATCATAATAGGTGAAATCATTAAAAAAATAATTCAAACATAACATGGAGTTCTACAAATAAGGGGCTGGGAAATTAGAAATGCTTAAAAGAAATGTGAGAGATGTTTCATGACATCTTAATCAGTTAGGATTGTGTTTGCCGGTCATAAAAAACCCCAAATGTTAGTGGTTTAACAAGATCGAGGTTCATTTCTCAGTCATGCAAGTAGAACTCAGAGGTAAGAAGTCAGGGTGGTCTTGTGGCTCAGAGATGATTAAAAACCAGATTTCTTCAGCTTAACATGCTGTCATTCCTACAGTGTAGCCCTTGTCTTTATTCCCAGCAGAAAAGATTGGGAAGGGGCAAAGGACACGACCACCTCTCTCTTGAGGAAGGTTCCGGGGAGCTGCAGCACAACATGTTCACGTTGGCCTGAAATTAGTTACTTGACCGCAGCCAGCTGCCCAAAACATGGTGCTTTTATTTTGGGTGTCATATGCTCAATTGAAAGTTTTACCACGTTAACTTTTGGCTATACGTTGTATTCCTAGGTTATTTAAAAATTCTACATGGTAAAATTGCGTTTGAATTCCTCATCCAGGAATACTAATGACTTTGCCTCTTGTAGCCACGGATGGACCAGTATTTTAATCAGATGGAGAAAATTGTGAAAGAAAGAAAAACCTCATCTAGAATTCGATTCATGCTTCAGGATGTAATAGACCTAAGACTGGTAAGTAGGAAAATAGTAAGCTAATACTCCAGTCTCTCTTAAGGAATTGGTTTGTCCTGGTATCTACATGTGTGAAACCTTAATGCTTTCGTTGGAGGAGTTTCAGAACGTGCACTGACGAAGTTCAAGGAGAGGTGTATGAAAGGACTAATGGCACATACACCAGCCTGTTATGTGTTTCTTCTCGTTACTCTGATTATCAAACCCTGTTGCCGTTTGGAAATCAGCCATTCTGACTTCATTGTGGTCACTTAAATTTAGTGTTGGAATGCTAAACAATCAGGAAGCCTCATCTTCAAAATGAATACATTTAACTTCCCTGAGCCTTATATTTTTAGTCCCTAAAATGGGGGTGCTGAGGGAAGTGAGGGGAGAAAAATGAAGACAACTATACTTGAACAACAATGAAAATATAACTTGAAAAAATAAAACAGGGATGTTGCTTACCTTTCAGATGGATTGTAAAGATTCAGTGAAGCAATTATGTAAAGTGCCTAGCTCATAGGAAATGTTTTCTTCTCCATTGTTTTTCCTATAAATCTTCCTGTCCTGCTGCATTTATTTTCTTCATTTCTCATACCAGAAACAGTTTTTACTCCTACCACCTCTTTTTTCTCTCCTCCTTTTAACTCCTGCAGGGAATATACTGCAGCTGACCCTAAACTAGGGAAGGGAGTACAGGTCCCTTCCCTGCCCTGCAGCCAGACCAGATGGCGTTGGTGGGTGGTCCATTTTCTTGCTAAGCCCACGTGGCCTCAAAATCCTTCCTATTAGCAGCGCCACTGCCATGTGATCAGGATCTGATTGCTGATTGAAACCTGTTTGACATCCTTGCCTCTAGCTAATATAAAAATGTAAATACAAAAAACTCACTCAGTCCTCCAACCACTTGTACTTACATCAAATGTTGGGACTGTAGGTGGGTAAGAAGGAAAGGGAAGTATAATTATAAGGAGGCAACTGGTTTTGTCCTTCATAGAGAGGATAACCAAAGGACAGAGTGGTGTGACACTTTGTGTAGGTTGCCAGAACCATGATATGAAAAAAAAAAAAAACGTATTAGTTGCCTTGATTCAAAGCTCCAGTGGAGCGTGTTATGAACCAAGTAGCAGTGCCCCAGGGCATGATCTTTCTTGATTACTCTTCTCTCTACTCCTTGTAAGTATACAAAATAATATAAAAATACATTTGGGCTAGTCTTTCACTCTGCCTTTTTATCCACTGGCTGTTGGATGCTCGGTATAAAGTAGTTAGGGTTAACTGAGAAAAATTTAATTCTTGAGCTCTAATCCCCAAACTGCACATAGTACCATCTGTAAGACAGATGAAAAACTGAAGTATTTCACACTTTCCAGCAGTGAAAGAGTAAAGATTTCTAAATTTTTTAATTTTTATCTATTTTTTAAAATTATGTTTTATTGGTTATGCTGTTACAGTTGTCCTGATGTCCCCCTTTGTTCCCCTCCACCCACTCCCTCAGGCAGTCCCCCGTCATGCGTGTAAGTTCTTCGGCTCCTGTGTTTTACATCCCCATGGCTTTTCTCTAACCACCTATTTGTACTTCTTAATGCCCTCACCTCTTCCGCAGTCTTCCCTTCCCCCTCCCATCTGCAGCCTTCTGGTGGCTAGCTCATTTTTCCTTTTTGCTCAGTTCCTCCACCCCCAGACTTCCCCTTTCATCCCCACTAGCTGTCACTCGCTCTCCATTTATGTCTGTCCCTGTTTTACTCAGTACTTCAGTTTGTTCATTAGATTCTACATATGAGTGAAATTATATGGTACTTGTCTTTCTCTGACTGGCTTACTTCACTTAGCATACTTAGGTTAATGTTCTCTAGGTTCATCCATACTGCTGCAAAGGGTAAAATTTTCTTCTTTTTTTTTATGGCTGAGTAGAATTCCATGTAAATGTTCCATAGTTGTTTTATCCACTGATTTGTTGATGGACACTTGGGCTGCTTCCATATTTTGGCTATTGTAAATAACACTGCAGTAAACATAGGAATGCTTATGTGCTTTCAAATTAGTGTTTTATTTTTTTAGTTATCTGGCTGATAACCCTATTTTCTCCTTTTACAGTGTAATTGGGTATCTCGAAGAGCAGATCAAGGGCCTAAAACTATTGAACAGATTCACAAAGAGGCTAAAATAGAAGAACAGGAAGAGCAAAGGAAGGTCCAACAGCTCATGACCAAAGAGAAGAGAAGACCAGGTGAGAGGCGGAGTCCACTGGGCATTAGAGAACGTAAGAGTTTGAAGGACAGTCTTGGCTGGTGTCACTGAGTGGATTGACTGCCGGCCTGCACATCAAAAGGTCACTGGCTCGATTCCCAGTCAGGACACCTGCCTGGGCTGCAGGCCAGGTCCCCAGTAGGGCGCATGAGAGAGGCAGCCACACATTGATGTTTCTCTGTCTCCCTTTCTCCCTCCCTCCCCCTCTCTCTAAAAATAATAAATAAAATCTTCAAAAAATGAGAAGAGCTCGAAGGACAAATATCATGAATTCTGTAGTTAGCACTGACTGGTCTGGCTCAGTGGGTTGAGTGTCATCCTGCAAAATGAACAGTCGCTGACTTGGTTCCTGGTCAAGGTACCTGCCTGGGTTATGGGCCAGGACCCCAGGTGGGGGCGTGCGAGAGGCAACTGATGGATGTTTCTCTCGCACGCCGATGTTTCTCTCCCTCTCTTTCTCCTTCCCTTCACCTCTCTCTAAAAATAGATAAAATCTTTTTTTAAATGACTCTATATTTAGCTGTTAAATGAAATCAGACAGAATATTTCAAAGATAGAGTGGTAATTGGTACATGAAATTTCACCTGGAGGCAGGTTATTAAGTAAAAGCAGAGGTTGCAAGAACTAAACATGATGTCTTTGACTGTTTTGAAGTCAGTCAGCAGTAAGACTTTACTGAGCATCTTCTGTATACTTAGTACTGACGAAAGGTATAAAAAGATATGGAAGATATGGTTCCTTCCCTCTAAAGCACAGGTGGCAACCACGAGGCCCACAGGCTGAATCTGGCCCTCCACCTTGTTTTATCCGGCCCGGCACCTTGTTCCTACCCGGTGGCAGTGCCGAGCTCTCGCTTAACTGTTAAGGAGTACTTACATTTATCCAGTCCTAAAATTATATTTGGCCCTTTGAAGGCAACCACGAGGCTGATGTGGCCCCCGGTGAAAGTGAGTTTGACACCCCTGCTCTAAAACTTACAGTTTATCCAGGAGGGCAAAACTAATAAAGGGAACATTTGCCAAGCACATAGACGATATTATCAATTATGAGATGTATTCTCCATTAAGGTTGTTAAAATTCAGAGAAGAAGAATGTTAGAAAATGGAAAGATATCTGTATTTGAGAAAGGGACACTTGAACTGGGCCTTGACAGATGGTAGATGTCTGGAAGGAAAGGAAGAATTTTAGTTATGAAATTAAAATAAACATATTGTAAAGAGGAATAAACAAACTTTGTTGCAAAAAACTTTAAATGTTCAGAACGAATGGAAGATGTCTGAAAGTGTAGAACTGATTGAGAATTTTTGACTTGAGTTGGTAGACACTGTAAGTCTTTGAGCAAAGGAGTAAGGCCATGCTGGAGGGATGTAAATAAAATAAGTCTGTTGCCCTTCACTTGATGAGTCAGGGGGCACACCAAACTCAGAAATACTGCTGTTGCCGGAATCCTGTGTGGAAGGAGTTGGAACTTAGTAGCAATTGGAATAAAAAGGAAGAAACAGGAAAATAAATGAAAGATGAAATAAAAGGCATTTACATCTGGGAAAATAGAAAGTCCATGGGCTAAGCTCTAGAACAGGGAAATGATCATGCTTCTTTTAAGACTGCATATTTTGAGATGACAGTGGGGAATCCAAGAGGGAGTGCTTGTTTGTCCACAGTGCAGTAAGTCAGCAGCTGGTGACTGGGTCACATAGTGTAGAGGTGGAGAGCATGGGCTCTGGAGTCACACTGTCTATGTTTGAACTTCGTCTCTGACATCCTAGCTCTATGACCTTGCACAAACCCCTTACCCATCTGCACAAACCATCTGTAAAATGGGTCCAGTATTAGTGCTGAGGATTTGTGTGAGGATGAAATGAGGTAGTAGTCTATGTAACGTGTTCAGCATAACAACCAGCAAACAGTAAATACTCAATAATCATTAGCTGTTACTTATCACAGACACAGTAGACCTCATAGTGAAGTTATGAGAGATGAATCCTCCTAGGAAAAAAGTGTACTTTTAAGTCTCACAGGTCAGCACACTTACCTTCCTCACCCTAGTGCCTAGCACAGTGCTTTTCCAGCAATGACTTTTATTTACTATCAAACTAGGTTGAGAGGGACCATATCAAACCTAGTTCGTGGATGATGTCCACGGTTGACTGAAGGAAGGAAGGAGCTCTTAGAAAAGTGACAGATAAAGAACAAGTGGAGAGGAGGACGTACCAGGGTATAAGTGTCATAGGAACAAGGAAGAAGCAAGTCTGCTTATGGTAATACCAGGTCACAGAGAGAAAATCAAGAAGTATGTGACTGTCAGCGATGTTTTCGAATAGATAGTCTGGCGGCCTTTCATCGCTCATTTAACAGATATTTACTGAGTGCCTTTCACTTAACAGGAGAGGGAAAGTCACTTCCCTCGTGCAGCTTACATCGTACTGAGGGCAGAAGACAATAAGTAAATACTTAAGTATCAGTATTTGTCAGATAAATTTGTTCGATAGAAAAAAATTAAGCAGAGAGACAGGGAGCGGGGAGTGCAAAGCTTGGTGTGTAGAGACTGTGATTATAAATAGGGAAGTCGGGGAGCCCATTGCTGTTAGTATTGTTTGAGCAAAGACTTGAAGTAAGTGAGGAAATTAAGTCATATGTGTGTGTATATATATGTGCATGTACATGTACATGTATATGTATATGTATATATGGAGAGAGTTTAAGGCTAAGGGGACTATAGTAAGCACAAAGGCCCTAGAACAGCATTTTTAAGGAACAGCAAGGCGGCGAGTGTGGCTGGATCAAGTAGCATAGGGAGGAGAGGGGTAGAGGACGGGGTGCTGGAGGGAGAGCGCCAGATTATTTAGCGCCTGTGGGCATTCATAAGGCATCTTTTCCTCTGAAGTGGAATGGAGAGGTAACAGAAGTGTTTTCAGCAGAGAAGTGCCACAGGACCTGAGTTGTGCTTTACAGGGGTCACAGTGGCTGCCGTGATGGTAACAGATAAGGAAGCAGGGAAGCCATTGAAGAGGTTTTTGTACTGAGGAAATGTTTCTGGCTTACACCAAATTGGTAGTGTTGGTAGTGGTTAGAAGGGGCTAGATGCCGAATACATTGTAAAGGTTGAACCGACGAGATTTGCGGGCAGATGGATGCAGAGTGTGAGAAAAAGGAGTCGAGGTTTTTTGCTTGAGAAGCTGAAAGATTGAAGAAGCAGGTTTTGAGGCAGTGATTTAAGCAGACTGCCTTTTGACACCATGACGTGAAATAAACGTTGGAATAAATACTTTCCATCTGATTCCTCGCAGAGTGTTCTATTAACTCTATAAACAGGCATTAACTCTGTAAAAACTAGCTTTGTGTCCCCCTTGTGTAGCACTCAAATCTCTATTTATATTAGTTGATTTCTTCAAGGTCATTAATGTTTCGTGGGAGATCCAGTATAAGCAGCATGGTTCTGTTGGATATTTTCTTGTCGTGGCTGTTAAAGAGACTGAGCAATGCTTTAACAGTTTTCGTTTTTCCTTGGTTTTGATTGGAGCTGATGAGTTGACACCATGGCTCCCTCTGTCACTGTCAAACTGACTTAAGACAGGTGAGAGACGGGCTCACTCTTTTCTCCCGGCAGGTGTCCAGAGAATGGATGAAGGTGGGTGGAACACTGTACAAGGGGCCAAGAATAGCCGGGTACTGGACCCTTCAAAATTCCTCAAGATCACTAAGGTGAGTGTTACATTTCGAATAACAACAACAGGCCCTGGCCAGTGTGGCCCAGGGGTTGGAGCATTGTCCCGTAACTGAAAGGTTGGGGGTTCATTTTCTGGTCAGGGCACATACTTAGGTTGCAGGTTCAGTCCCCAGTCCGGGCATGTACAGGAGGCAGTTGATCGATGCTTCTCTCTCGCATTGATGTTTCTTTCTTTCCCTTCCTCCCCCACTCCTTCTCTCTCTAAAAGCAATGAAAAAATGTCCTTGGATGAGAATAAAAACACACACACAAAACAACAGCCTCAAAACATGACTCTCCAAATTACTTGTTGCTCATATAAAATAGGCAAAATGCAGATTCTATGGGGTGGTTTTTATCTATAAGTCAGCATTGATCACTGTATTCTTACATACTTGTCCTAGCATTTATCCTTTTTATTTCTATGAGGATTTACTGAAGAGGAAGTAACTAGGTTAATTCTAAAAGTTTCATAACTTTTAGAAACTTATATGCTTAATATAAGAAAGATGATAACAGCAGTATTTCAAAAGCCATAGTCAGTTGCAAGCTTTTATACAGTGTATCCTTAGCTTTGGGGAAAAAGCAGCTAACTGTTTAAGTCTAACCAAGAAAGAAATTAATGGTTTGCTATATCCAAGGCCTACTAGAGATCATTCTGTGATAAATATTTAATATACTATATTTAATTTCCTCTCTCTAGAGAATCTGTGGACAGTAAGAGAATTTTCTCCTAGCAGATATTTTCAGTAGAAGTCGATCACTATAAAGAAGGTGAAGAATGTAGAGAAAGCAACGCAGAATTACATTTTGTAAAAGCGGAAACTTATATCCCAGTGGATTTGAAAAATTATTTGCAAGTTTAGTTTGATCCTTAGGTGTAATATACTTTCCATAGTTCTGAAACTTGGCAACTTGCCCGTATGATACTAAATCTAAAGCGAATATGAGAATATCAAATGAAAGAAGATAACTGGCAGAAAGGAAAAGACTTTAATAAAATTGGAAGAAGATGGGATATGTCTTTGCATGTTCAGGTTTTGTCAAAGCATTGCTTTAGAACATTACCTCTGTGGGTCTCTCTTGATCAGCTAGCAAAGGTCCTATTCTCAAAGTTTCTGGTACATTCATCTATATGTCTCAGAATGAATTCCATTGCTAAGTGGAACTTGATTCCCAGCCACTTTCTTTTTTCTTTTTTTAATGGTAAATTTCTTTTTTTTTATTATAGTTTATTGATTATGCTATTGCAGTTGTCCCAATGTTTTCCCCTTTGCACTCCTCCACCCAGCACCTCCACTCCCTCAGACAACCCCCCTACATTTGTTCATGCGTCGTACATATAAATTCTTAGGCTACTCCATTTCCTATACTGTGCTTTATATCCCCATGGCTATTCTGTAACTACCTATTTGTACTTCTTAATCCCCTCGCCTCTTCAACCATTCCCCCACACCCTCTCCCATCTGGTAACCATCAAAACGGTCTCTGTAGCCATGATTCTATTATTCTTGTCTTAGTTCTTTAGATTCAATTATTGATAGATACGTATTTTTTCCCATTTTGTTCATTGTTTTGATCTTCTTTTTCTTAAATAAGTCCCTTTAACATTTCATGTAATAATGGTTTGGTGAAGATGAACTCCTTTAGTTTTTTCTTGTTTGGGAAGCTCTTTATCTGCCCTTCAATTCTAAATGATAGCTTTGCTGGGTAGAGCAGTCTTGGCGGTAGGTCCCTGCTTTTCATGACTTTTAATACTTCTTACCAATCCCTTCTAGCCTGCAAAGTTTCTTTTGAGAACTCAGCTGAGAGTTTTATGGGAACTCCTTTTTAAGTTAACTAACTACTTTCCTCTTGCTGTTTTTAAGATTCTCTCTTGATGTTTAAACCGTGGCATTTTAATTATGACATGTCTCGGAGTGGGTCTCTTTGCATCCACCTTGTTTGTGACTGTGCTTCTGGACTTGCGTGTCTATTTCCTTCACCAAACTAGGGATGTTTCCTTACATTATTTTTCAGATTGATTCCCAATTTCTTGCTCTTTCTCTTCTCCTGGCACCCCTATGATGCGGACCTCTTGAGTTGTCGCAGAGGATACAAGGACTGGCTGTGACTACTGACCACCAACCTCTGCCCTCTGTGGAGTATCAGCTGTGCCTATACTTTCCTCACATTTTTTGGATTCTTTTTTCCTCTTGTTGTTCTGACTGATTGTTTTTTGGTTCCTTATGTTCCAAGTCATTGATTTGATTCTTAGCTCCATCCACTCTACTGTTGTTTCCCTGTAAATTGTTCTTATTTCAATTACTGTATCCTTCATTTCAGACTGGATCTTTTTTATGCTCTTGAGTTTCTTTCGCATCTTTATAACCAGTGTTTTGAACTCTGCATCTGATAGATTGTTTATCTCCATTTTGTGTAGTTCTTTTTCTGGAGTTTTGGTCTGTTTTTTCATTTGGGCCATGTTTCTTCATCTCATTTTGGCATACTCTCTATTTACTAGGTGGGGATGTTGTCACTCCCTGCCTTGGTATCATGGCCTAATGTAGTAGGTGTGCTGTAGGGCTTAGTGGCACAGCCTTTCCTATCACTTAGGCTGAGTACTTGAGGCGTGCCCTCCATGTGGGATGAGTACACCCTCCTCTTGTAGTTGAGACCTGGTCGCTATTGGTAGTTCAATGGAAGGGACTTTCCCAGGCCAGTCAGCTGCAAGGACTGGCTGTGACCACTGACCACCAACCTCCACCCTCTGTGGAGAATCAGCTCTGCAGGGTCAGGTTGTGGTGCTCTGGTGAGGTCTGTAGCTGTCCACTGGGTGTGTAGGCTCTGGGATTTCCTGGGTGGTACAGGCGAAGTTTAGCCCCCAGCTGTGTTCTGTCCCGGGCCACTCTGTATGAGCTACAAAGCAGTCTACTTGTGCTGGGCTTAGAGGTTTCCAGATGAAGTGAAACTGTGAACTTAGGTTGGCTCATGCTAGTGCTGGGCCTAGGGCCACTTAGCAAGAGGTACAAGGACTGGGGGCTCTCTGAGGCCAGCTGTGGCTTGTTTGAGAGAATTTAGGAATTTGTAAAGCATAAGCCAAGATCAGTCATTCATATGGAAAAACCACTGTTAACAGTTTGGGTGAGGCGGAGCCTCAGGGGATCTCCAGTGCAGGGCAAACAGTGGTAGCCAGTTTGATGGAGTCTCAGATGTGATACTCCTCTGCGGGCCCTGTGGCTCTGTCGAGGGAGCATTATGAAGATGGACAGTAGCCTCTGCCCTCATTTCTATCTGGGAGAAAGTTGTCCGCCAGCTCTTGCCTTGATGCCAGACACTTCAGTTCCTCCTCATATGCCACTGGTGCCTTTCAAGCTTCTACCCCAGTGCTGGAGCTCTCAGGGAGTGAGGCTGAGTAAGTTCGTGTGTGGGTTCTTTAAGAGGAACTGCTTGGGACTCCAGAAGTCTCTTCCGTTAACTTATTCTTCACTTTTTTGTAGCCAGAAGTTATAGGGACTTACCTTCCTCGCACTGGAACCCTGGGCTGGGGCGCCTGGTGTGGGGCTAGGACTCCTCACTCCTGTGATGCCCCTTCCGAATTTTTACCCACTGCACATGGGTTTGGGACCAGCCCATTCCAGGTCTCTGCCCCTCCTACCAGTGTGGATGGATGAGGTTTCTTTAATTCCATAGTTGTTGGATTTCTATTCCTCTTGATTTCTGATGGTTCTGAGAGATGGTGGTTCTATAGTTTGGTTGTAATTTTGATGTGGTTGTGTGAGGAGGCGGGCCATGTTTGCCTACGCCTCCATCTTGACTGGAAGTCCTCCACCCACTTTCATTTCCGCAAGAAAGAGTTTTAACCAAGATCTTGTGTTGAAAGAATTACCCCAACATCAGCCCCAGTACCTTTGAAAATTTTATCAGTATTTAATAATAACATTTGTTTATTTTTTTTAAGTATTGTTTATGGATACTATAAAAAAGAATACTGCTGGTATTAAACTTACAACATTATTTCCTTAATATTTTGAAGAATATGTAAATTGTTTTTAATTAATTTGCATATTCAAGTAGTACACTTTAAATAAGTGTCCTAGAAAAAGTTCAAAGCCATTAAACAAATTCATTGGTAACTTAGAGAGATTTGTGTGAAAGCATGTCATGTAGTAAGACAGTACTTTCAGAATACAGTAATACCTTTGTTACCAAGAGCTGTATTACAGCTTTTTGTGTTGTATGTATATCAATTTGTGTTACATTGTAATTCTGTTCTCTTGCACCGAAGATAGGTGTGGAGGACTAAACCTCAAAGATAACAGAGGCTTTATTTCCCAACATTCCGTTCTCGCTCGTATTCCCCTTTATTGACTGTTCCCGTTCCCCCTCTCCAGTCTTAGCCCCAGCTCTGTTAGGTTTTCCTAAAACATGAAATCTTTGTCTTTTGACATATTCTCTCACAGTCATATGGAAAGATTAATGAGTTAATTTTGTAGTATTTTTATATTCCTTTTTTTTTTAATCACTGGGCATTATTATACAAGAGGAACCAGAAATTGCTTACCATGTAGCAAACTGGCACACCATCTTATAGGACTCAAATGCATTCTCCAGACCCAACCACTGGTTTCAAGTTGCATTTCGTGGAAGCTAGAATCCAAGGAAGTGCTTCATGGGCCGCAGGAACCCACTTTAACATGAATGACTCCAATTTATGTTTCTTAAATCAGCATTCTGAGCCAAATTTTGTTTCTAAAATTGGTTTTGCTGCACTGAAAAAGAAAAACTTATTCTTCTATAGTATTTCCTAAAATTCACTCTTATCACTATGTCACAGCCCACAATTGATGAAAAAATTCAGCTGGTACCTAAAGCGCAGCTGGGCAGCTGGGGGAAAGGCAGCAGTGGTGGAGCAAAGGCAAGCGAGACTGGTAAGCAGGAAGTGTCCCTCCTCGGTAAGCTGGTCGCGGTCCTTCGGCATTCCCCCCACAGGCACTCCCACGATCACGCAGGAGTGATTTCAGGCAAGGCTCTGCAGAGTGATCGTGCCCAAACTTACCGGCAGCCCTGTCTGGCATTGTTATTTCCTCCTCAAAAATTATTCTTAGGTGTTTAAAAAAATTTTTTTTAAATTTTAGTAGGTAGGCTATTTTAAGACTTTAATCTCTTAGGGTCCTTTGTTGTTCACAAATTCAGTATAATTACAGAAATTGCTGGGAGCCCAAATTAAAAGGCAAACTCATTTTACTGAGAAAAAGAATGTTAATACCCAGAACATTTAATTTCAGGGTGTTGTAAAAAGAATCAGATTAAAATAGCCTTTCAGATATTTTACCGAAAGTCATATTTTGAAAGATTTGACCTTAAGACTGCAATGTTTGGACCATTACATCTTAAATGTAAGTTATGTTTGTCCAACACATCTTAAAGCTGAAGAAACCCAATGGAAAGAATAAAAACTTCATTATTAACCTTCTTTCCACATTTCTTTTCTATTATATAATTTTGACCTTCTTTAAATTAAAAAAAATTGTTATTCATGTGAACCTACATGCATAACTTTATATAAATAAGAACATAACATTTATATTAATTACCTTTTTTTAAGTGAAATACAGTCGACCTTTAAACAACTTGGGGCTTGGGGGTGTCCCGCCCCTACCTCATGCAGTTGAAAATCCACATATAACTTTTGATTCTCCAAAACACAAGTTGTACCTTGGTGTAACCACAGGGGATTGGTACCAAGACCCCCTCCAGACACCAAAGTCCTGGATGCTCAAGTACCCTGTGTAAAATGGTCAGTGCAGACAGTCATCCCTCCACATCCGCAGTCCCCCAACCATGAACCGAAAGCAGTACAGGTATTTATTTAAAAGTCTGAGTATAAATGGACACACAGGTCATCAAATCTTGTTGAAGGGTCAACTCCATTTGTTTTTTCTTGTTCCATCCTTCTCCTGTTAATTACTCTTACCCCCTTGCCGTACTTAGGACAATTTAATTATGTTTTTAAAGGAGCAAGAACAAATCATTGTAACGTGAAGATTTCTAATGAGTTTTTTCCATACAATCTCTTTCTAATACTCTGCTTGTCAGACTGTGGTCTGTGGACAGGAGATTGGCATCACCTTGTTAGGCTTTTACCAATGCCTAGTCTCAGGCCCCACTCTAGGGAGACAGATGGGTTAGATGCTGCATTTTAGTCATGTGATCCATCCTTTTTTTAATCCTCAACACATATAGATGCCTTACGGTCAAGTGCTTCCAGTTTAAACAGATTCTCTGCTTTGCAACCTCCAGCACCCTCAGGGTCTACATCATCCACACCTTTAGAGTTTGATTCCCGGCGGACCTTAACCAGGTAAGAAGTGTGTGTGCATAGTAACTTAAGACTCACCTGCTTGTCACTGTGTCCGTCTGTCAGTCTGTCTCTCACACACACAGATGCTCACACAGATTACGATGATAATCCCTATGGACGGATTCCTGTCATCCCTAAGGCTGATTTCCTTTCTTTTTTTCCTTTAATCTTCACATTCTGTGATTTCCAAGATAAGAACAAAATTGGGTGGTAGATTTGGGATGGGGTTGAAAGGAAGGGTAAGTTAATCGGGCAAATATGTAACGGTTTGCTCCTTAAGAAAGACTGACTCAAAAAGTGCTAGCGTCTAGATGAGAGGACTTCCTGCCCAGACAGAGGTGTAGATAGATATACTTTGCCTCCTCACACAAAAGAAGGACAACAACAAATTTAAAAACAAAAAGTAACCAGAACTGCCAGAAAATTGAACTTTGTGGAAGTCCAACAACCAAGGCATTAAACAAGAAACATTCATCAGACCAGCAGGAGGGGTGGAGATGGTCAGCCAGGGTGGAGAGGACTCGTGGCAACGTGACAGCTCATGGAGTGGTCCATCCCACATTTGCATGCGGACAAACCAGGAGGAACAACGGGGGTGGGGAGACATACCGGGAAATTCAGGGTTCCAAGTGGGGGGAAATAAGCCCTCAAAACCTCTAAGTATAAAAATTGGTGGGGGATGAGGCAGCAGGAGAAATTACCAGCCTCACAGAAGAGCTCGTTGGAGAGACCCACAGGGTCCTAGAACATACACAAAGCCATCCACCTGGGAATCAGCTCCAGAAGGGGCCAGTTTGCTTATGGGTAGCAGGGGAAGTGACTGAAAGCCTGCTGAGAGCTGAGCAAGCAGCACTGTCCCCTCTCGGACCCCTCCCCCACATACAGCGCCACAAGCAGCTAAGTAGGTTGCCCCACCCTGGCTAATACCTAAGGCTCCGCCCCTTACTGCATAACAGGTGTGCTGAGACAAAAAAAAAAAACATGGCCCTAATGAAAGAACAGATCAAACCTCCAGAAAAAAATACAACTAAGCAATGAAGAGATAACCAATCTATCAAATGCAGAGTTAAAAACACTGATAATCAGGATGCTCAAAGAAATGATTGAGTATGATCACAAAATAGAGGAAGAAGTAAAGGCTATGCAAAGTGAAATAAAAAAAATGTGCAGGGAACCAACAGTGACAGGAAGGAAACCGGGACTCAAATCAACAGTTTGGACCAGAAGAAAGAAAGAAACATTCAACCAGAACAGAATGAAGAAATAAGAATTTAAAAAAATGAGAGGTTTAGGAACGTCTGGGACAACTTAAATGTTCTAACATCCAAATCATAGGGGTGCCAGAGGAGAAGAGGAAGAGCAAGAAATTGAACACTTAGCTGAAAACATAATGGAGAATTCCCTAATCTGGCAAAGCAAGCAAAGCAAATAGACTTCCAGGAAGTCCAGGAAGCTCAGAGAGTCCCAAAGAAGTTGGACCCAAGGACGCACACACCAAGGCACATCATAATTACATTACCCAAGATTAAAGAGGAGAGAATCTTAAAAGCAGCAAGAGAAAAGGAGACAGTTGCCTACAAAGGAATGCCCATAATTCTATCAGCTGATTTCTCTGAAGAAACCTTGCAGGCAAGAAGAAACTGTAAAGATGTATTCAAAGTCATGAAAGGCAAGGACCTACATCCAAGATTGCTCTATCCAGCAAAGCTATCATTTAGAATGGAAGGGCAGATAAAGTGCTTCCCAGATAAGGTCAAGTTAAAGGAGCTCATCATCACCAAGCCCCTATTATATGATATGTTAAAGAGTCTTATCTAAGAAAAGAAGATGAGAAATAGAAACACTAAAATGACAACAAACTCACAACTATTAACAACCGAATCTAAAAAGAAACAAAAATGAACTAAGTAAACAGCTCCAACAGGAACAGACTCACAGAAATAGGGGTCACATGGAGGATTATCAGCAGGGAGGGGGAGCGGGGGTGAACAAAATACACAGGGGGAGGTTAAGAATAGTATAGGAGATGCAGAACTTACATGTATGACCCATGAACATGAACTAGGTTGGGGGGATGCTGGTGGGGCAGGGGGCACAGGGTGGAGGGGAATAAAGGGGAGGGAAAAAATGCGGCTTTAATAGCATAATCAATATATTGTATTATTTTAAAAAGTCCTTGAGTCTGTGTGGGGCTCTCCAAGCTAATGCCTCGGGATGCTCTAGATAAATTTAGCAATTTTATCTGAAGTGTGGAAATTAAAGGGTATGACTGCCCATCCACACACTTCTCTGTCACAGTGTTCAGATTATATTTGAGGTTGTCTTTTATTTTTCACTCACTGTAGGATACAAGTATGTATCCTATATTCTTCCTACTTTTCTTTCCGTAGGATTCATACAGTCCAGTGTTCTGTTGGTTAGTAAGTCTGGAGACTGGATGAGGACCTGTAGTATACAATAGTGGCAGAACAGAAGTTTTAATACAAGCACTTTTAAAGCTGAAGTTTCTTTTCGCTCTCAAACTTTTGTTTATTGCTATTGTAATGTTTGGTGAGGTAGACTTTTCTAAACTATGTCTGTATTCCCTTGGCATCGGAAACAAAATATGCTTCCCACAAGTCAGCTTTCTGTTGGTGACCCGGATTGTCACCGAGCATCAGAGGGGCTGTCGAGGTCTTCTCGACTCTTTGATATGACATCACTTCTCCCAGTGACCCTGCTTCTTGAGAGTGTGGGTTTTTTCACAGCGGTTAGGCTGTTATTACCCCTCTGCCTCTTCCCTCTTCTCTCCCTTTTAACTAATTTGCTGCTTCTGATCTGCCATGGGTAAGGAGCTGTTTGTCCAACTGTTTAGAATCGACAACTAAATAGGAAAGTGGGAAGATTTCTCTCTTAACATGAATGAAGTGTGTGTCATGGGCTATTCCAAAGTTACTTCTATCTGGTTCTCAAATATTCTCCATGTATTTGAAGTTTCTGAATAAATAAAGTATATAATTTCTAAGATAGTGATATGTTCTTTTGCTATTCTGTTTCCCTTTTACTCATTTAGTTCATATATTCATTACTGTCTTAAATGATTTTTAAAAACTAAATCAAGGAATTGTCATAGTCATTATAAATTTTTAAGTGATATCTCTTAACATTTAAGAGAAAAGTTACAGCTATTTTAATGTTCTCTTTAAAGCACTGATTTTACTTGTTTTTATAAATAATCCCACTTAGAATATAATTGGTGCCTCACACATCTTAAGTTTTCTCAAAAATTTTACTGCATACTTCAGAAAATCTTAGTGTTACTTTATAATTTAAATGCATAGGAGGTGAGAGTCTTTCTTTTGAAATGTGTTATTTTGCCCTTGAAGCCGTGGAAGCATGGGCAGGGAGAAGAATGACAAGCCCCTCCCCTCTGGAACGGCTCGTCCGAACACGTTCACGAGGGGCGGCAGCAGTAAGGACCTGCTGGACAATCAGTCTCAGGAGGAGCAGCGGAGAGAGATGCTGGAGACTGTGAAACAGCTTACGGGAGGCATGGATGTGGAAAGGAACGCCACTGAGGCTGACCGGAACAAAACCAGGGAGTCAGGTGAGAGACTTCATGTGAACAAATACAGATGAAGATTCGGGCCTTCCTTTTGGAAATAAAACTGTAAGGGAGATTTTGTGCCTGAATTGATTTCATGATGACAACACACTCAGCAACATCTTAAAAGTTTAACAGGCCCCTGGCAGGGTGGATCAGCTGGTTAAGCATTGTTCCGTGCACCCAAAGGTTGTGGGTTCATTCCCTGGTCTACACATACACCTAAGCTGTGGGTTTTGTCCTGTCCAGGTGCGTATAAGATGCAACCTATCCATGTTCCGCTGTCTCTCTCTCCTTCCCTCCTTCCCTGTCTCTCTTCCTCTCTCCCTCCCTTCCTCTCTCTCTAAAAATCAATAAGCATATCCTCGGGTAAGGATTTTTTTTTTTAAGTTAAAGGGCATCCTCATAGTTTTGTAACATAGTTCTTACTCCCCAAGTAGCCCTTAGTTCAGCAATTTGTAAATTCTTTTCTTCCTCTGTCAACGTGATGGTGATGGGTTCCTCTTGCTGTATGTTAAGCAATCTGAACTTCTTACACATTCCCTAAATAACACCCCACTGTGCATTAGAGTGTGTATGCTTTTGTAGAGCCCCTCAAATGTATGGAAATTCTGACATTGAGCCACTGTCAGACCAAAGAGAGGCAAACCAAAGAGAGAGAATCAGATTGTCTTGTTGTGTTTATCTTTCTTGGTAACCTCTGTGGTTGCTGTATATGTTTAGCATGTATATGCTTAGAGGAATGACTCAGATGATGCTCTAAAAACTGTTTCATGTATTTAACCTATCTTGTTTCAGGTTCCTTGTTCATTACATGGGGATAACAAGTGTAGGGTTATTAAGATTAAATAAGAAGTCAATAAATGTAACTACTGAGAATGTTATCTGACATATACAAAAGTTTTCAAAATGTAGTAGAGGTCATGATGAAGGTGATGAAAATAGTTTAAAGATCATTTTTAGCACCTTGTAATTCTTAATCCTGAAGTAATAGTGGTGGTTTATAACATCTTTATAACTTTCTATTTGTTTTACTATGTAAATTGTGTCTTTTAACTATTGTCTCTAAATGGATTTCAGAAGCAAGTTGAAATGTCTTCACCCAACGGATACACACTTCAGATCTTTTAGCTTTAAGGATACGTAGCTTTCCTATCTGTGTTAGGTATTTTGGGAACGTAATAAAATAGGACATGAAAATAACGCGTACAGTGAATAATGTAGCACAGCTGCCCTGCGCATGTGTATTGTCTCAGTCATTTATCCCGTCACCACGTGCACACTGAGCAGCTCGTGACTTCTGGGCACTCATTCCCTGCTCCCACCCTTCAGTCTCCTGCGTCAGGAGGAACTTTATCACATAATTCCACAAAATATCACGGAGAAGTACAAACGGAGAAAAATGCTGAGAGGGAAAAATGGTCATAGTTCTAAGGGAGTACTTGAACTATCTAGAACTGACACAGACATGTGTCAGGGAAGGCTTCCCTAACTTCTGAAGGACCGTAGGAGTTAAGACAGGTTCGTAGGGCAGGACAGGGTGGAACAGAGAAAGAGCATTCCAGATGGGAAGTACCATGAACAGAGTAGCAGTAGACAGAACCATGTCGTGTTCTAGCAGTTGCCAAAGGCCAGCGCGGCTAGAGCTCTGTGCTCCGTTGTGCAGGCCTCCTGAGCTCTCCATCACTGAAGCAGTGGGAGGAAGTCAGACTACAGAAATGGACACAGAAGCTTTAATTACAAATGTTTAGCATATTCCTCTATCCTTTTACTTGTCGTGGATCATGAAAGTACTTAGTGTATATTTATTCTAAAATGAATGTCTCTATATTCTGCTTTTAGGTGAGTTACTTTATCAAATTTGTCTATTTTTAATGCTTTTATTGGGAAAAAAGTGACAACAACATGTAAACATTATCAACCATGATCCCACCATTTTAATAATAATTTTTGTCATTTTTACTTTCTTGCTTTGTTTAAACCTCTCTAGTAGTGAAACCAGAAATTCCAACGACATCAGCGTCTGACAAGCCTTCATTGTCAGAAGAGGAAATAGAGAGGAAGTCCAGATCTATCATTGATGAATTTCTACACATTAATGATTTTAAGGTAAATGAATTTAAAACAGCAACAACAGCGTAAGCCCTGTGACACACACAATCACTTGATTCTGGCCTAAGTCCGTTGTGATGGTGAACCGATGACACTTGGAGTGTGTGGCCAAGTCCAGCGCAGCTCAGCTTGCACAGCCCTGATTCCTTTCCGCCAAGTACCGTCTTTTACATTGATGCTGTGGATCGCAAGGGCAAGTGGCAGGAGGCAGGAATGGGTACCTGCCCATCCCCACTATGGAGTGATCATATCATACCTCGTGATTTTTACAGTTTATCATCATTCTTATATTAACTTTACAGTGTGTCTGACATTACCTTTTTTTTTTATTAAGCAGAAAACTGAGTCACAAAGGAGTGAGCAGTGTGCCAGGGTCAGACAGCCTAAGTAAACATTTCAAGTCACAGCTTTGCATTTGCCCTCCTTTAACCTGACCTTCTCTTTGACCTTCACTTTAGGATGGTAGTGAATATGAGAGATACTCTGCCTGACTTCGTACATTCTAGTGGCAGAGAATGACCATAAATAGGTAACTCCACAAATGCATTTTTAAATTGTAGTAATAGTAAATACTAGTAGAACTATTTAGGATCTTAGGAGAGATCATGTAATGGGACCTAATTTGGGGATCTGGAGTAAGCAAAGGCTTTGGTCAGATATATTAAGTACTTCTGCTTTAACATATATAATGAATTCTTTCAAGCTTGCTTGTTCCCTTAACAACCTAGTTAAAATCTACTTTCCAGTGTAAAAAATCATCTTGGTTAGCTATAGCCCAGCCTTCTAAAAGCCTCCAGCTCTAGAATTGTCCAATATTCAGAAGTAGGGAAAAGTTTGATGATAAGCAAGTTGGAGAGGAGTACTTTGCAGAGCCCTTGAAAACACAGCAAAAATAGATGAACGTTAACAGAAGAGAGCCAACGAATGTACTTTACATCCTGGGATTTGTTCATTAGAGCCTTAGGAAGTGAGTATTCTTGTAAACTAGCAGCACAGTTTTTTCCTTGCATGGAAGTAGAGAAATATGAGAGACCCAGAACGAGGAAAGGCTACGATAGATGAAAAGGCATTATGGTGGTGACGACGCTATTGAAATGGGGCCCCACCCTGCGAGGACGCGAAGCACAGGGAAGAGAGAGCAGCAGCATTCCGGAAGGCGGAAATTAGGAGGATGGGTGATCATTTATTTAGAAGACCACAGATGTGCATGAGCTGCAGATGGAGCTGGAAACCGAAGGCTGATTGGTTAAAAGTACATGTAAGAAACAGTTTTACATGATAGCCTGGCCCAAATGTTTGAAAAATGCCAATGTCATAAAACAAAAACGAGGGAAAGGACAGATGTAGGTTAAAGGAGTCAGAAGAGACGTCATGGCCTGCGATGTCGGGTGTGTAATTGGATCCTGGAACAGCAGGAAGCCATGGGCTCCCCTTCTCGCACGCACCTTCCCCTCAGCAGAGCCCGTCCCTTCAGAGGCGAAACCGAAGCATCTCACTCACACTCAGAGCTGAGGTAGGGGAGGGCAGGTGGCTCTCTGCCGTGTTAGCGATGCAGCCGCCCTCTATGCCGAAGGCAGTGGGCCTGGCCAGATCGCCCCACGGTGAGAAACACTTAGCAGGCCACACACCCTGAGAAGTTCATCGTTCTTAGTACTTAAGCTAACCGTATTAACTTTCCTGTGAAAGAAGGCCTGTCTCGTTGAAGAGTTTGCAAATATTAACATACCCCGGCAGTGTGACCTCAGTTGCCGTTTTAAGTAAGGCCTTTGAATCATGACTTTGAATTTCTATTTCATAATATGCCATTTTCAGTTTTTTAAATGATCATAAAATAGGTAAACATTGTATAGAAAAATACATTTTTGACTCTGGTCCTTTGAGTGATGTTTAATAAAATTGTTAACCTAGACATATTTGCTTTACAAAGACACACGTCTTCTATTTCCAAATATGACTTATATTGCCCACATCAGCCTGCATTTCACTGGGCTGTGTTAATGTTTTAAAAATTGTCTGTGAAAACTGTCTTGTTTGCAGAACTTTCTACTGAGTTTGTCATAAGTAAAAGATTTTAAATTTATTTTAACCCTCTGGTAATGCGGTCTAGATTTTGGGGTAAGCTTTTCTTTGCTGCTCGGACAGGAAGCCATGCAGTGTGTGGAGGAGCTGAGTGCCCAGGGCCCGCTGCACGTGTTCGTGCGGGCGGGGGTGGAGTCCACCCTGGAGAGGAGCCAGATCACCAGGGACCACATGGGCCGCCTCCTGCATCAGCTGGTGCAGTCAGAAAAGCTCAGCAAACAGGACTTTTTCAAAGGGTCAGTATCCTCCTCGAGTGGTATTTTATTTATTTATTAGGCTTCTGAGTAAGGAGTTCATTTTCAAAGTACATTATCTATTTTAAGTTTTTAGCTTTTTTCATAGATTAAAAGTGTGTCTGCTATAATGTGTTGATGTATAATATTGATAATGTGTTGGTATGATGAAATTTGGAGACTGTGCTAGGGCACAAAGGTTATCTTCTGGTTTTTTTTTATATATATATATATCTTATTGTTACACCTATGCTGTGATATAAGTAAGGTAGCAAAGACCCCTTAACCTTGGGGAAACGGAGGTTTCATCCACCTATTTACATGTAAACCCTTGGATATTCTTTCAGGAAGAAAACTTTTCTTCTGTGAAAAGATTTTTTGAAAAATTCACTTAAACCCGAAAGCCTTAAATCTTTCAAAAACCTTGGTTATTCTGGCCAGGAAATGCTTGTGTGCCCATGTCAGCCCCACAGGAGGATATGGAATTCCAAGTCGTGGACGGCTGGCTTGCTGAAGCCGGGCTGGCCCTGGTGTTGGATCCTCATTGGATCGGGTTCTGGTGTCTTCGTGAGATACCATCATCACAAGTGCGTGGGAGCCGTGTTGTACAGTATGAACATGCAGTCACGGTCATCGCTGTTAGGCGCTTACTCTCGAAGGGAACAGGAACTGAAACCTCTGAGGGCCGGACATCAGCTTTGTGCCTCCCGTCTCGTACTGACTCAGGGTACATGCTCATTAAGTGGGGTTGCAGGGAGAATTCTGCACTGTTTATTTTGCTCCTTATAGGTCTTTTTGCCAAGCTCATGATGTATTCTTGTACATTCAGTGTGCACGCAATGAACTGGCACTGTGTATCTTTCAGACACGGTCAACCTCTTAGAACGGTATAACCATTAAATGCCATGGTTAATGTACTTAGGAATAATTTCTCATTTGAGTGTGTGATGAAAAATGGCATTGTCCTCAAGGTTCTGAAAAATGTGTACTTGCCCCCACGATGATGAAAAATTTGTGTTTCGAGAGTAAGCTAGATTTCTTTGAATGCCGTGACTGACTGTATTAAGGCCATGTGACCCAATTAACTTAATAAGAAACTTTGGTAAAAGTTGCCGTGATTGTTGGCCTTTAAGGCCAGGATGGCTTCCCGGTCTTAAAAGAGAAATATGTCGTTCACTCCACTGACCAGCCAATGTCAATAGTATGAGTAATGAGGGGATCCACACCCTCACAAAGAAAGTGAGGTCCGTCTGCCGCTAGCCAACTTGCAACTATAGTTTCAAGCCCCTAGAAACTACATTCACGGTAACTATTATTATTAGTTTATAACTAACTTGCTTTTTACCTCGATATTATGATATAGTCACCATAAAATTTTGGAAATTAGAACGCTGGATTATTACTTGTCATTTTATATCTCTCATCAAATTATGCTCATAAGTTAATCCATCTCTAGAAAGACTCCAAGAAGTGTAGTCCAGCTTCGCCAGCTTGAATCGAACTTGGGAGGTGTGAGCTGGGTTTCCAGGCTGTCTCAGACGTTCGCGTTTCCCTTTGCGGGTTCCGTTGAGGAAAGAGTGTCATCAGTCATGGTCTCCACACTTTCACTGTTTTTGGCAGTGGTGGTGCTGGTGCTGCTGCTGCTGCTCATGCTGCTGCTGGCAACACTACCACAACCACAACCTTTTATTTAGACTGAAAATGAAATTAACACCTCTGGGTCTCAGTAACTACTTCATCTTGCTCTATTTTTTCTTCCTTCTGCAGTTTGAGATAATGCAGTGGCTCCAGGCCTAGCTTTTAATACTAAAATAGACCTGAACAGGCCGTCCTTAGACCAGGACCACTACGAAAATCCCTATTCCTCCCTAAATGGAGGGAGAGGCCTGGCAATTTTTTCTAAGATGGAAACAAACTGATAGTTTAGTGTCATCATCCACAAAGTGGCTTCTTGCTAATAGATCAGTTTCCCAATTACTTCAAAATCCCAAGTAATAAATAGTTCACACTGTCCAGAGGGGCCAGTTCATTGGAACCATGGGAACTCCCCAAGTCTTTCGTCTCTTTGGTCTCAATATGCAAAGATTTCTGGTTTTGCACAGCATTGCCGGGGACCATCTGAGGTTGGCTTACTTAGATGCTGCTGCTGGTTAGGTGCCAGCTTTTGAGCAGTCACCGAAGCAGTGATTCTGGGAAACAGAAAGCAGAAGGCCTCCAAGTTTGCTGGGCCCTGACCAGCCAACTAATGTTCCATTTCTCCTACAGTTCCTTAATATTTAAGGCATGCGGTGCTATTATATATTAAGCTAGATTAGACAGAAGCTTCAAATAGGCTCTTTGTGTTAGGTTGTTTATAAATAAAGTTTAGATCCTTTGGAATTTTCCTTATGAGGTACTCTGTCAACTCTGAGCATACAGTTGCCATATATAAAGCACATCTTCACAAAGGCAACATCAAGCCATCCTCTTAGAGTTTTCAGTACTTGAATCGGAATGCTTTGTGACGCGATTCAGGTAGGTAGGTAGGTAGGTAGGTAGGTAGATAGGTGAATGCATTTCAAGCATTATTGATACAGTCATTTTGTATCATGGCTTCAGAAGTCATCTTTTTAAAAACTGTCTGGTAAAGGTAGTTGAGTACAGTTCACTGTTAGCCACAGAATTGGAATCACTTTGAAAGTTTAGTAAATGAAATCCAGGATGACAGAAATTGGAGTTGACAGTGAACACAAAATATTTGTCCTTCAGGAGGCTTGCTATATTAGTATTTCACTTTGAGAAATATTTGTTGGAGAGGAAATTCTTATCTCCTTCTTGACTACTTCTTGGAACTTTTCTTGCCACTGTGGCAGTTCCACCTTGGTGAAAAGATAGGGTTCAGAGCTTACAGACATGCATGCTGAGTTTCAAATGCAGAAATGCAGAAGTGCTAGTTAAGATGAAAACCCCATTTGCTCACATAGGTAGGTGGGATCAGGTTTAAATGGTCTTTGTTGTAGTGACCCTTTGGCGATGATACTGCAGGATAAGAAGGCTTTTCATCTTCTTTTGTTTCACTCTTTCACCTGTAGCTAGATTCTTAAAATTACTTACAATAATACTTGATCAGTCCGATTTTTAGATGTCTTTACTCTTTCTTCCATGTTTATCTACAGCCAAATTTCCTCTTTTATTTAGTTGTCATAATTGGGGAAGATGCTACTGACAATGCCATTTCCACCTGTATTAGATTGTTTTGCCTTTTTAGCAGATTTCTGATTAGACCTTCACTGAATTTTTTAAAATTCCAACTTTTAACCATGCACTCCTTTCTTTAATTAAATTTTAGGCAGGAACTCAGTATATAAAATAAATGAAAGTACATCTCCTGTAGTTGAAATTGGGAGAGAATGCCTGAAGTTCCACCTGTGGACCCTACCAAAGTGCAGTCCAGTGGGCGTCATGGTCACTGCATACCAAGCGCAGGGGTGCAGTATAGCTCTATTTCATTCTTTAGCCAACAGAAAATGAGTATTATGCAAGGCATTGTTGTAGGCTATGTAGTGTGGTAGTCCAAAGACTACTGTGTGGGGGAGCTTCTACACACCTAGGATTTTTCTTTTAAAATCACACAAAAGGACTTAGGAACTTTAAACCTGAAAACAGATATCTCTTCTTTTATCAGGCTTGTTTTATGGAAATCCTATGTTCAGCCAAGTAGGCTTTTTTTTTTAATCAGCAGTATGGATTTGGCAGCGATTGTGTTCTACAGACAGTCCCATGACTACTGGAGAAGTAGAAAACCAAGGCAAAAGTACGGGTGTCTTTTAGTTGTAATAGGAGATGAAATAGCAGTAGACGTACTACTGAAAGGCAGAATGGCTGCAGTCATGGGCTCGTGGGCTCATTAAACAGCTTAATCTATGCCACTAACCCATGGAGCATGGATGGGCATTGTAGGGTGATTAACCCAGAAATCCTGGAGTCCATCCAGATTATGGTCCCTTAGTAGCACATTAACTGAGCTGGAAGTCTACACATAATGAGAGAATAGTCAAGTATCTGTTGTATTGCAAATAGATGACAGATAATTGCAAGCTAGAAGGTCAGAAAGTTGGCATTAGGAATTCATGAAGCCCAGGGTTGGATAAAATGGCTAATCTGCAGACTGTTTTGAAATGGCACCTGCAGAAAGGTTACTCTGCTGTCCAGTGGTGTTTCTGTGTGCAGAGATCTGAAAGGCTATGAACACAACTACTGCCTGCCCATGCTCCTTCCTTCATTCTTTTTCTTAGGTTCTGTGTATTCCCTTGTAATTATGCATGTGTCTCCTGTAGTTAAATTTACTTCTGTTTTCGTACTTTATAATATTTATATATATATATATATATTTATATATTTATATATAATGAATTAACAAAGTCTTACATTGTTTTTATAATTATAAATGAATAGCTATGCTGTTGAGCCTAAGGAAAATTTCCCTGATATTTTGTATTTTATTTTCATAAGTATTATATTCAAATCCCATTTATTTCACTTCATATTGAGAAATATTTCATAGCATGAGAGCTTGAAACTATTAACTTTTCTTCAAGATACAACAGTTGGTAGCATGTCGTAATGATGATGTTATTAGTAAAGTTGTCAGACTCATATCCATCCATTTTTTCCCCCATTGTAAGCTCCTCAAGGATAAGGCTTTTTGCTTTTTCTTCTCTTTGTGTCTGGTCTTTATTAGGTTTTTAGTCTGTGCTTCTGGCTGGCTCAGAGGATATGATACTCATCTGTGATGAAATCTTTATAATGTGGGATTAAATTGATAGCTGTTTCTCCAGAATTTCACGTGGCTGCCTTATTTTCATCATTTAAGTCTTTCAAATGTCACCTCTCTACAGAGGTATTTTCTGACCCCCATCTGTATTAGGATATCCTAGTACCATAGTTCGTGTTCTTCAGAGTATCGACTTTCAGCCCGTGCCTCAGAATGTTGTCCTGTCTGCAAGGATGCTTTTGTCCGTGCTCTTCTCTCTCTCCCCACACCAGTGTAAGCCCTCTGAGAGCAAGAGCCAGCTACTGCATGCCTAGAACAGTACCCATCATAGCAAATGCTTAATGGGTATTTCTTTACCAACTGCTTTTTGATCTCTTTATTTAATCTTAGCTTTTGAATTACATTTGCATGTGAATTTTTTTCGTGTTCTTTTTTAGTTTTTCAGAAACATTGGAATTGGCAGATGACATGGCCATTGATATTCCCCATATTTGGTTGTACCTTGCTGAACTGGTGACGCCCATGTTGAAAGAAGGCGGAATCTCCATGAGAGAACTTATCATGTAAGTTGTTCTTGTTTCCTTTGATGTATATCACGTTAAACTGATGCAAAACTCATCAGCTGGCCTTCTAGCATACTGCTGGTCCCTTGGTGCAGCAATTTTCAATCCTTTTCATCTTGTGGTACATATAAACTAATTACTAAAATTCTGTAGCACACCGAAAAATATGTTTTTTGCCTATCTGATATATAAATAGAACTTTGATTCATTCATATGGACAAGTATTGTTATGTTGGCTGTTAACATTTTTTATTTGACAGTCTAGGAGAAAGGAGGTCAGCACCTCTGACTTAATAGACCAGTATTGTATATTTGAAAAATTCTTGGTGGCACACCAGTTGAAAGTCGCTGCCTTAGTGCCTTTAGAGAATCTTGGATGCAGCTGTGACTCTTTAAGACTTCTAATTTTAATATAAAAATGTTACATTATACGTCATGTTTACTGTAGAAGTGATGGGGATATGATAGCCATGTGGCCCATTGAGGTTAGCAACGATTATAGATTTGGCTTCAGAATCATGTAACTGACTAGAAGGTGATTTTGCTCCTGGAAACTTAATGCTAACCTGACTTTTATGGCTGTCGTTGCTCCAGTGTTGTGACACCTAACAGACCATGACACTTGTATAGTACATGCTCAGGTTGTAATACAAGGAACTGAGGTCTGAGGCATTCCTAAATTTGAACATGAGTGGGAAATTATTGCCACCTTGTATAGACTAGTATTTCCTAAGAAATTGTTCATTTAGACAGACTCTGCACACTGCTGTATCCCTTGTCTTTGACACTCACAGGATAAATTATAGCACGTTCAAGGTTATGAGAATCCTGCAGTAAAATGCAAAATGTAAAAACTATTCGGGTTTGTGTAATTAACATTGCCTCACTTAATTGACTGTACAATATATTTTCTTTAGGAATGATTATTGGTAACCTGTAGAAATACAGTTTGGGAAATACTGATTTAGGCTATGAAAAAAATAGGTTCCTTTCTGTTCCAGCTGTATTCTAAAAAAGGTGGAAGGGACTTCTTTTCTTAAAAACAGTTAATAACTAAGCTTCATACCTCTTTGTTATCTATGGTGCTTTTCTCCTTTCAGCTTAAAGTGGGGTTTATATAAATAAATAGATTATTAAGTGAGACTGATCCTTGCAACTGCTTCTATCACTGAAGCAGTTAAAAGGCAAAACTCAGGAATTCTAAAGTCCCTTCGAAGCTTCTCCATGAAGCGTAAAATGAACCTGAAGTTTCTGAACTACTTCTGTTGGAAATTACTTCGAGTATGTCCTGGGTTTGGCTTGCCCAGTATTACTTAGGTTGTAAAGTGTCTGTTCTTTGTCACACATTGTTTGCCTACTGTTTCAGAACAGAGAGTTTATTCTGAGGTACTTAATCACTACTCCTATCTTTCACAGAGAATTTTGCAAACCTTTACTTCCTGTTGGAAGAGCTGGGGTCTTGCTTTCTGAAATATTGCACCTTCTATGCAAACAAATGGTGAGTGTTAAACTGAGCATCAGACTCAACAGCATATTAGGAAAGGCAGTGATTTTGACCTTGGGTTATTGGTAAATAGCTTAGATATCACTGCAAGTAATTTCTGTTTCCTTTTATTATTTGAAATAAAGAGTGAGGTCTCTGTTTAAATCTAGTTTCTTCCAGGGGTGTATTTGTCCTTCTGTTCACTAGTAACTTGGAAAAGAAGTACCTATTCTCAACTAGATTTGATATAACTCTTAAAAATTTCAAGATATGTTTTATTTGTAGCTACTAATTTTATCTTTTCTTGAAACAAAAGGGCTGTATTATTTATACTTTTTAATTGATTTCAATGAAAACCTCTTTCCAAGAAAGAGACAGGATTCATAAAATGATTAATTTTTATTATTTTTGGATTGTGGGCTAGATAATGTATGAAAATTATTCTGCAAGATTGTGAATTTCTGTCTTAAAGTTAGATTTATTTTAGTTTAATAAATACTACATAATTCTCTGCAAAGTTCTGTGCCAAGATCTCAGCCTACAAAGATAACTAAACCTTAAAAGAATTTATAAACTGGAGAGGGAGATAGACAAGTCTAAACCAGTAGTTTCAAAGGAGTGTGGCAAGTGCTATATGTTGGAGGCCTTAGAGGTTTGGTTTGGGAAAGGGGTGTGCAATCCCAGAGGTGCTGTAACACCTGGGCTCAAAGATGTCAAAACAAAACAGAGCTCAGGATGAAAATTCTGGAGTGATTTCTGACTTATTCAAACCAAAGCCAAAAATATTGAGATGATAGATTTCATTGTTTTACAGGCATTGATTTTAAAAATTCAACATTTTATTTATCACTCTAAATCTACAGAAATCCTTCTGTATTACATTTGTGTAACAGTTATTCACGGATAGGTATACTGAATAGCCTGGACTTTAGTTCTAATTGATTATTTATTATTAGTACTCTGCTTGCTAGCACTAAAATTTTTATTGAACCTTACTTTGGAGATCCAAAATTCTCTGCTTTTCTCCTACCTGACTTTAGTCCTTACTAAAAATTCAAATTCTGGTTAACTTTTATTTGTAAAAACTACAATGGAATTCTCAGAGGGCATAAACTCTGCAGTGAGACAGCCCGAGTTTAAATCCTGGCTCCACCGCGTTACCAGCTCTGCCTTGGGCGAGTCACTCTGTGAAATAATCAGTACGTGCGCTGTCATCGGTGACAGCTGCAGCCTCAAACCCTCACGTTTTCCTTCATCACCGTGACTTTATTCAAGCGGTGGACTTGCCCCTCCACTAACAACAGCTCTTCTCTATTTCTTGGGGTCAGCCTGTGCTGCTTTTCCCTTGAAATATTTCTCATATCTGATTTAGGAGCAACAACTTTTCTTAGCCATTCTCATGTGAGACAGCGTAGCGGTGATGTGCTGTGAGGAGGGGTGCCCGTGAGGCCTGGTGAATAGCTCTCGTAACAGATGCGTGCGGCACCGTCTAGGAAAAGAGACAGTGTTGGATTTGTAAACTCAGTGCACGGGTCTCTTCTTCGGTGATTATATTCATAAAGTCTAGGTCCCAGCTTGCAGATCCCCAGGTTAGTCATCCAGTGAAAGAAATGGTTAAACCCTAAACAGCTGTACTTCAGCCATTCACCGTTACGGACATCTCAGTTTCTCTGCTAAGAGTCCTAAGAAAGTAACTTCATATCTGCAAGAAAAGGGGTTTTTTGCAGATTTTTCAGTCTTAACAGTTCTGTGATCTGTTTTTTCTCTTGCCAATGTAAAAGTAACTGGATTTTGACTTACTTCTATTTCAGAGCCATAAGAAAGTGGGAGCTCTATGGAGGGAGGCTGACCTCAGCTGGAAGGACTTTTTGCCGGAAGGGGAAGATGTACATAATTTTCTCTTGGAGCAGGTACATAAGAACAAGACTTATCCCTCCCTGTTTGATAGTATGCATTTTTAACCCACGGTTGGGAATATGTGTATGTGAAGGACCGGTTTAATTTATAGACACATTTCTGACTGCACAGGTGGTTGGTGCCCCTAACCGCTCTGTTCTTCAAGGGTCAGCCATAGTAGGTCTGTATTATAAAAAAAATGAAGATAATTTCATCAATATTCTAGTTACTAAAATTAGACCAAAATAGGAGTCATGGTCAGAATGTCACTTTGACTCCACTTCAACTCTGCATTCATTAGCTATAAATAAAAAGATAAAATTTAAAAGCCTTAGTCACACACACAAAACAAGCTAGAGGGAGGGGGCAGGTGGAGGGGGGCAAAGGGGGGAAATTGGGAAAACTATAATAGCATAAATAATAAAATACAATTTAAATAAATAAATAAAACAAAAAAAAATAAAAAGAAGCTATATATTCCCGTGAACAAGAAATGAAATTCATAAGCCAGGTGCTAATAGAATTAAGCTGCAAGTTGTCTGAGCTCTGGATTGGAAGGCAAGTAGAGACAACCAGAGTTATTTCTGTGGGTAACAGGTGCTAGAAATCTTTTTTTACAAGTTAGAGGACTGGGAGGGACAGGCTCACTGCATAAAATACAGTTAAATACCATAAATAAATAACTGAAAGGAGGTTGATGCAGTCTTATAGCCAGAACCTTCACTAGGCTGCCTGCTGTCTGGATCTAGAAATCCACGAGGCAGAAGCCCCAGTGGTCGACACAGTCGGGTGCTAGACTGAGAATCGTGAGGGTCAGATGGAGGCAACCATAAAAGTATTAGACCTAAAAGAGTGACTGAGAAAGAAAAAAAATCTCTCAGAGTGATCCTATAAATTAAAATCTTAAAACATGTAGAAAATTAAAGCTAAGACAGCCAACAAAATCAGCAAAAGGAGAAAAAAATCACTCTTAGGTAAAAAAGAAATGATAAAGCAATTTGAAAATAAATATAAAGTAAGTATATTGTATTGGATAAAGACATTGCCTTAGGTTACTATGGATTTTAGCTTCCTTTTGATTGGTTGTAGTCTGGATATATTGGGAGCACTCCTGAGACAATAATAAGAACCTACATAAAGCATAATTTATCTAGCATTGCTGGGCTAATAGGGTAGAAGAAATTCCCAAGGAACAAAAAGAATGAGGGGAGCCCTGGCCAGGTAGCTCATTTGGTTAGAGTATCATTCCAGTATACCACCAGTGTTGTGGGTTTGATCCCCCATCAGGGCACATACAAAATCAACCAATAAATGCGTAAATAAGTGGAATAACACACTGATGTTTTTCTCTTTGTCCTTTCCTCTTTCTCTAAAATCAGTATTTTTTAAAAAAAATAGTTTTTTAAGTAAGGGGGAAAATAGCCAGAGATGAAATTTGAACTCTGAACCATCACCACAGTTGAAGGGCATGCTGCCAGTACCGTTACAAGTGCTGCCAGAGATCTTGAAAGAGGTTGAAATGGTCCCAAATCCAAGATTATTCTGGCTCCAAGCAGCAGACTAAAATGCACTTTACAAAAACAGTCTCATCTTAGGTCTCCTCTTTTTCTACAAATTAACATTATCTAAATGTACAAGTTAACACCTAAGAGTTCATGTAACATATAATAAAACAAATAACCATGAATGAGAGTAAATAGACAGCAAATGCTAGATTTACACCTAAGATAATGCAATTATTACTCAAAATATAAAATAACATTTTAAAAAAGAGGGAATCACAGAAATGAGCAAACAAGAAGAGACTAGTCAAAAATGGACAAATTTTCAAAAGAAGACACTGCATACTAGATAGAATTCTAAGAGATGTTAAAGAAATTTAGGGGACAAAACAGAAAGCCTAATATGTGTCTAAGTGGAGTCCTAGAAGGAAAAATAGAATGACTCATGAAGAGAAAATATTTGAGAGCCTATGGCTGGCACTTTTCCAGAACTGGTGAAATATGTGAATCTATATACAAAGCACATGTGTACCACACAGGATAATTACATTTTAATGAAACCGCATAATAGTAAAGACAGAAGATTTTAAAATAGCTAACAAGAAGTAAGTTTATTGCCTACAAAGGGCAAACAGACTTTGCTACAGCAGTAGTGAAAGCCAGAAGGTAGTGGAATAACCTCAGAGTGTTGAGAAAATGTCAGTTAATCTACAATTGCTTCTCCAACTAAACTAACCTTTAAGAGTGAGGGCAACACATTTGGAAACTTAATAACACACTTCTGAATAACCCATGCATCAAACAAAAAAGCAAACAGTAAAAGTTAGAAAAAGTATTTTAAACTGAATGGAAATGAAAACACAACATACAAAACTTTATGGAATACAACTAAAGCAGTACTTAGAGTGAAATTTTTAGCACTGAACATCTGTGTTTATAAAAGTAGGACAAAAATCAGTGACCTCAGCTTCAGCCTTACAAAATTAGAAGGAGAAAAATATGAAAAGTAAATAGGAAACAGTTGATAATAAGGTTCATAACTCAGTGAAACAAAAAAAATAGAGAAAAGTCAATTAAGTCAAGTGCTGATTCTTTGGAAGGTAAAATTGATAAACCTCTGACTACTAAGGAAAAAGAATTAAAAAGAGAAGGCACAAATTACCAATAAAAAGAATGAGAGAGGTAGTAACATTATACAGAGTATACATATAATGGATAGAGAGCTTTGTGAATAATCTTCATGCCAATAAACATATATCAGCTTAGTTGAGATGAACAATATCTTGAAAGATACAAGCTTTTAGAACTGACTCAAGAATAAATAACTGAATATTACCATTATATTGAAATAGTTAAATATATTCCTACAAAGAAAACTCCAGCCCCAATGGTTTTACTATTGAACTCTACCAGACATTTAAGGAAGAAATCATACCAGTTCTGAAAAAAAATTTATACCGATTTTATCAGAAAACTGAAGAGGAGAGATACTTCCCAACTCATTCAGTGAGGCCAATATTACTTTGATGACAAAGCTAGAGAATAAGAGAAAACTACAGACTTCCAGCCAAGATGGACACATGGGTAGATACACTTTGCCTCCTTGCACAACCAAAAGTAGGACAACAGAAAATTTAAAAACAAAAAACAATCAGAACAGCCAGATAATTGAACTGTATAGAAGTCTGAGAACCAAGGATTTGAAGAAGAAACATTCACCCAGACTGGCAGCAGGGGTGGAGACAGACAGCCGGGCTGGAGAGGGTACACAGCACGGCAATGGGCCAGGCCTGGCGAGGCAGCAGCTGGCAGACCGGGTTTTCTCATATTTGCGTGCAGATAAGCTAGAAGAAACAATTAGGGAGCAAGACAGAATACAATTCAGGGTTCCAGCATGGGAAACTAAAGCCTCAAAACCTCTGGCTGTCAAAATCTGTGGGGATTGTGGTGGTAGGAGAAACTCCCATCCTCATAGGATATTTCATTGAAGAGGCACATGGGATCCTAGTAAGTACACAAGCCTACCCACCTGGGACAGAAAGCACCAGAAGGGCCCAATTTCCTTGTGCGTAGTGGGGGAAGTGATTGGAAGCGGGGCGAGAGCTAAGCAAGCAGCACTGTTCCCTCTCGGACCCCTCCCCCACAGACAGCACCACAACACAGCCACATGGGTTGCCGCGCCCTAGCCAATACCTAAGGCCCCGCCCTTTACAACATAACAGGCTGCCAAAACAAAGAAATATGGCCCAAATGAAAGAACAAATCAAAACTATTGAAAAAGAACTAAGCAACAAGGAGATAGCCAACCTATCAGATGCAGAGTTCAAAACACTGGTAATCAGGATGATCACAGAAATGATTGAGTATGATCACAAAATAGCGGGAAAAGTGAAGGCTACGCAAAGTGAAATAAAGAAAAATAGGGAACCAACATTGAAGGGAAAGAAACTGGGAACCAAATCAATGATTTGGAACAGAAGGAAGAAATAAACATTCAGCCAGAACAAAATGAAGAAACAAGAATTCAGAAAAATGAGGGGAGGCTTAGGAACCTCCAGGACAACTTTAAACATTCCAACATCCGAGTCATAGAGATGCCAGAAGGAGAAGAGAGAGCGCAAGAAATTAGAAACTAAGTTGAAAAAATAATGAAGGAGAACGTCCCCAGTCTGGCAAAGGAAATAGATTTCCAGGAAGTCCAGGAAGCTCAGAGAGTCTCAAAGAAATTGGACCCACAGAGGAACACACCAAGATACATCATAATTAAATTACCCAAGATTAAAGATAAGGAGAGAATCTTAAAAGCAGCAAGAAAAAGGACACAGTTACCTACAAAGAAGTTCCCATAAGACTAGCAGCTGATTTCTCAGACGAAACATTGCAGGCACAAAGGGCTTGGCAAGAAGTATTCAAAATTATGAAAGGCAAGGACCTACATCCAAGATTACTGTGTCCAACAAAGCTATCGTATAGAATGGAAGGGCAGATAAAGTGCTTCTCAGATAAGGTCAAGTTAAAGAAGTTCATCATCACCAAGCACTTATTATATGAAAGGTTAAAAGGTCTTATCTAAGAAAAAGAAGATCAAAACCATGAACAGCAAAATTATAACAAACTCATAACTATCAACAACTGAACCAAAAAAAAAAAAACAAAAACAAACTAAGCAAACAACTGGAACAGGAACAGAATCCCAGAAATGGAGATCACATGGAGGGTTATCAGTGGGGAGGGAGAGGGGAAAGAATGGAGGGAGAAGGTACAGAGAGTAAGAAGCATAATTAGTTGGCACAAAATAGACAGGGGAGTTAAGAACAGTGTAGGAAATGGAGAAGCCAAAGGACTTATATATGACTGATGGACATGAACTAAGGGGGCGAGGGAGATGCTGGTGGGGCGGGGAGGTGAAAGGCAGAGGGGAATAAAGTGGAGAAAAAATTGGGACAACTGTAATAGCATAATCAATAAAATACACCAAAAGAAGGAAGGAAAAGAGAAAACTATAGGCCCAT